GACGATCTTGGATATAAGAACGGACTATGAATACCGGCCTAAGATATCTTTCAGAAGAGCTCTTTATAATATCTCTTCATAGATATCTCTAAAGTCTCTAGCAAGCGTGCTATTTAAGATATTTTACGAACGCCGCACACATGCGCAAGCAACATACGTGTGAACTAGAGACACTGGGTCTGTTCTTTACAGCTGAACTGGCTGCACCAGTTCAGAGCCCATCCTTCTTCTTCCAATGGGGAGAGAAAAAGATAAACTCTGAACCAGTGCAGCCAGTTCAGCTGCAAAGAACAGACCCACGGTGTAAAATTTCCTCTCCGAGGAAAATTTTACTCGATGGCCAGCCTGGAACCAATCAGAGATGCTCAAAAAAGTTTCGGAACGGCCATCGGTGTAAAATTTTCCTCGGAGAGTACGTTTTGGAACATAGCCTAGATGATCCTTTCTTTTTTATCGCTATCATGCAAATCGTACTTTAGTGACTGCGTCGTTGATACAAGATACAACTGTACAAATCTCAAAGTACGACGTATGTTGTACGAGAATTAATTATAATTTAGCGAGATAATAAGTTATCTTCAATCAAGTATTAAAAAATCTTCAATCAAGTATTAAAAGGATCTCGTTAATTAAAATTCATACATTAAAATATATTCCTAGATATATTCCCAAGAAGCAATCTGTCAAGAGGAAATTAAACTTTAACGCACATCTTTGACGTTTCTCTTATACCAATGGCATTGACAGGACCCGACTTGCCGAAAATTCCGTCTCCCTTGAAAAGCATTCAACAATACTTAACGATCGCAGCGAAGCACGATCAACGAGACAGTGTCGTCAGTTATTGGTGTATGTATATAATAATATATTGTACATTCCTATCCCTTAACTATGTGAAAATATTTCAGTATCATAGAATATTTTCAGCGTTTTTTAATATAGTGAGAAAATATCTTTTATTGGAATTTAACATTCCTTGCTTTCTTTATTATGACAAGTTAGAGAAACATTAAAATTTCTCATCAAAACAGGCCGTCTTTATGCTCTTCAAACTGGGTTAAAGCTATCTACTAAAACATCAGAGGAAACAAATTTTTTACTGAAATTAATGGACTGGTTGGAGAAAACAAAGAAGGAGTTACATGATAATGAGGCCATTACTAATGATGTAGCTGCTCAAGCACACTTGGAAAATTGGGCCTTGAAACTCTTCTTGTATGCCGATAAGAACGATAGAGCTGCAAATTTTTCTAACAATGTAGTGCAAAGCTTTTATACTGCTCAGGCACTGTACAATGTATTGACATTGTTTGGAGAACTGAGCGTAGAAGCAGCACAGAATCGAAAGTATGCGCAATGGAAAGCATCTTATATCCATAACTGCTTAATGAATGGAGAAACTCCAGTTCCAGGGCCAATGAAAGAACAGGATGAAGAAAATGATTTTGTTGAAGCATTGAATGAAGATGGTAAGTTGATTATTTATCCTCTTGTCAAGTTATTAGATTCTAAGAAATACTTTATGATCATTAGATAATACCGATTTGAATGTAAATCCTGCAACTGAAAGTCCCAAGGACAATGCTCCGCAAAGTATTCCATCTATTCCTGTAAATCCACCAACTACAAGATCTCAGTCATTTGATGCAGAGGACAGTACTGCATATAAGACAGAAAGTAAGTCCTATAATGTAAATATATTTATTTACAAAAGAAAGAAAACGAATAAATATATAATTAAATCAAATATCTTTTCAAAAATATATAATAATTTAATATGAGATAATTATTCCATTTCTGAACAAAATATAATCTTACAGATGGTGCTAATCTGTCGATAGAGCAAATTAATAAGGCTCAAAAGTTTTTGAAATGGGCGAGTAGCGCATTAGACTATGATGATGTATCTACTTCTGTAATGAATCTTCGGAAGGCTTTGCATCTTTTAACTACTGGTCAGGAACCTGCATAGGCGAAGGAAGCGCAAAGATAACATATTTGGTAACAGCTTACTTGCAATTAACTGCGTTATACTTGTCGCTTGTTTCCTGTAATGGTCAGTAAACAATATTTTACTAACATTTCACAATTTTTATACATATGCAACTTTTGAATACAGATAATAGAAGATGAAAATAGAGGCAAGTTTACAATAACTAGTCAAATTGGCCTTGAATATATGTGTTGCATTTATATAATTAAAAAACGAAAGTTGTTACAGACTCTATGTCTCTAGATTTTAGTTGTTGTTCGAAATAAGATAGAATTGTAGTTTCATCATATTTATTAAAGCTACTTGCCCTGAGAACTTTAATATGTTCTCTAACAAAAACTCCAGCATCACTCTATTCTGTTCTTCAAATAATTTTTTGATAACTTTATCAAAATGAAGACAGAAAAAGATGAGAGAAAAATGTTATTAATTCGCTAATAATCTAAAAAAATTGAATATCTAAATACTACAAATCAATTAGTCAGAAAAAAATAAAAATCTTAATATGTTAAAACATAAATCCTATTATAAAAATTAACCAGAATTGTTTTAAAATAGACTCGATATATGATTTTTGAGGAATAATATATTATTATACTTCTGCAAACTTTAGAATTTAATAATTTTTCTTAAGCAAAATGTGGCTATTATATTTCGTGTCATGGGATGTATACATCTAACACATCTCTTGTACATAATATATTTTTTTATATATACTCAATGAGAAGAAATAAATAAAAAAACGAAAATATGTATACATATACACAAATATCGATCTTTTCTCAACATTTCCTAGTTTTTATTAAACATTGCGTGATATAAAAATGTGATTATATCGAAAAATGTTAACATTTAAACAATAATACTTTCTCGATACAACATTTAAACGATGTGTTATGGGTGTTTCACTGCAATTTTATATACAAAAGAAAAAATTCAGACATTAATATAATTATGCTTTGAACAAAAATATAATATACGATTATCTTTTCAAAATCCAAAACAAAATTAATAATTTATGAGAATTATTATGAAATTGTTATAGAGAGAGAAAGATGTTGATTTTATATCCAAGTGCATAAACATTCCACAAATAATTACCGTAGCTCGAAGTATTACCTCGCGTGAAAATACGAACGTGGGTATCGAATGATGCTTACAGAGAAGTCTATCCACTGATTTCTCACTTTTAATTTTGGTTTTATTTATCAAATTGTCCGATCACACTTCTCACTCGTGAAATTTTTAAGAAATAAATTAACACTAATATATATATGTGTATCGATTACCAAGAAACATTTTCTCTATATGTCCATACACACATTCTCGCACGACATATATAAGGACACATTCATTCAAGTGGCAGTTAGTACCTCATGCTTAAGCTAATGATACTAGTTGAGGAAACTGACAAATAAGAACCGAGATGCAATAATTAGATTATATGTTACAATGGAAATTTAAATTGAAATCGATAATCAGAGAGAAAGATTCACCGAAACGCGTAAAGTCTGTACAAATTAATGGACAACGTCGAAATGCGTCATCATCACATGTGTATCCATCAGTGATTTAAAATGTAATACAGACTCTACGCGGGTTTCGACGAGTCTTATCCCTGATTATCGATTTCAATTTCGATTGTAACAATTAATATTGTGCATGTTAAGTTTTAAATACGAATTTAATTTTTATATATTTTTATCTATGCTAAGGATGGACCAAAAAAACGATCCGAAACATACATATTTAATGCATACTTGTTATTAAAATTAAACAACAAAAAAGTTCACGCATCAATTATCGCGCCTCAGCTCTTGTTTGCTGGTTTCCTCACCTAATATCGTTAGTACTCTGAGTCTATTTCTGTTATTATTGAGCTTAAGCTAATGTCACCGAGGGACTGGTCGCATCAATGTCGATTAATATTACGCGCGATAAAAATTAAATTTTCTTTCTCCGTTTATACCATAGCTAAAATCTTATATTATACTTGTTTATATCGTGTCTATATATATATAGAAGGATTATATTTCTAATTTAACTTTATTTTTGTAGCTATATATATAT